TGTTAACTTACGCCATCTCTCTCATGGTAGACGTGATATCCGACTGTCAACCAAAGGAAATGTGTACTGCTCACCAGTTCTCTGAATGTCTGTCAGTGAGACATGGGCACTGCAAGTGGAGGACATGAAAAGGCTGAATAGATGTCTTTGATCATAGGTGTCTCCGTTCTATCTCCCGTGGTAAGTGGTATAGTCAGGTGAGAAATATTGAGGTTTAGCGTGGGTTGAATGCTAGGTAATGAGGGGAAATCAATCAATGAGGTTGTGAAGGAGCTGCATCAATTGAGTGAGATGGTTAGGACATGTGTTATGCATGCAGGTCCAGTAACTGGCCCCCTCGACGGGCAATTTCAGCTGACTGACGTAGGATCGATGATGTTGGAAATGAGCTGGTAGTAGCGCTGAAACCGAAACATGACTTCATCAGTCAATGAAATCCACAACAGTTACTTTGAGCCAGCCAAGTAAGGAAGTATAGATTGGCTGTCTGGCTAGACGGGGTCCTCGGGATGGTAAGAAGCAATGCCAGCTGGGTACAATTGACGATATGGCTCAAAATCCTCGGTCTCGATGTTGGCGGAGATGCATTCACTCTTTGTGATTGATTTCTCATATCCATCCAATGGATCTGTGTTGTTCTTCCATATTAGTATTCTTTTTCCCTTACTCACACTTGTGTTTATTATCTGTCTTTCAATGAATCTGTGTTTACTCTCTTCTGTTGCCTTGTGTTGTACGTGGAGGGAGTGTGGCGAATTGAACTGGTGGACATGTGTGGAAACTAGTTCTATGTTGAAACCAGTCGGTGAGATAATACTCATAAATGTTGTTTTTAGTGAAGGATTCCTACGGAAATGAATGCTACATATAAATACAAAATACAGAACAATCCATAATTCTCCCCAGTTACCTTTAACTATTTACTCCTATCTAATATAGTGCATATTAACGATGCGTCAGTTATTTTTGATGTTCACAGAACAACTATCCCCAGCAAATAGAATCCAATTATGATCGCAAATTGGACAATGTACAGGAGTTACAGATATGTCAGCTATTCAGTGTTGCATGAAAAATTGTTTACAGTTACATAACATGACAGTTTGTCACGATACTGACCGGTTGTAACATCGATGACGGTTGGGTTGTCATACTGGTTGCTTTATACAAGGACTAATTAAAACACCACACATGCACATGCACACAAACAAGATTTTAAACATTACACAACTACAACTTTTGACTATGTAAGTACAGTAAGATAAAACTTCAAATTTTGACGAGGATACTTTGTTTAAGGATATATTTTGACAGTAAATAATAATATTTTCCTCTTCTTCTCTAGCAAAATCACAATAAAGCAAAACAAGGTGGAGGCCAAGAGTGTAGTTTTCTAAGATTTTTACATATTTATAATTTAATCATAGAATACGTAATAGAGACAAAATGATAACAAAAATATAATTGACAAGTATTGATTGTGAGGATTCAGATAAAGTTATTGCAGATACCTTTATGAGAACCACTGAAAATCATGGAGAGCTGTGTCTTAGTTTGGCACTCTTCGGAGGCGTCAGCTCACGACCTCACTCGCCAACGAGTTCGCCTCGTAACCTGTAAGTTCTAGGGGTTCAATTCCAGATGGAGATGGAAGTATGCTCTCCTAAAGAGTCCCAAACTGAGTGACTGACTGATTTCAACATAGAACTTTGCACAGAAGTGCACCAGGTCAACTTGGCTGGCTGGTTTCAACACCGCTAGCAGCTCATTTCCAACATCATCGATCCTAAGTCAGTCACCTGAGATTGCCAGTCGAGGAGGCCAGTTACTAGACCTACATGCGTGACACATGTCCTAACCATCTCACTCAATTGATACAGCTGCTTCACAACCTCATCGGTTGATTTCCCCTCATCACCTAACATTCGACCCACGCTAAACCCCAATATTGCTCATCTGACTATACCACTTACGAAGGGAGATACAACGCAGACACCTATGATCAAAGACAGCTGGCCAGCCTTTTCATGTCCTCTACTTTCAATGTCCATGTCTCACTGACAGACATACAGAGATATAAGAATAAAACTTGGGCACTGTAGTAGAAGGTAATTCCATTATGGGTAAATTTTATTTTGATAGAGTCTCACAGTGTTATACAGTAATATTTACTGATGACGTTTCGAGCACAATTTATTGCTCATAATCATATCAAGGTAATCACACAACTTCCTAAATTCATTTATATAGTTCCATTGTTTTTCACTTGATTTGATTGGTAGCATTATTTTCCATATCTCGGGTATGCGTGATGATTCATTCCTATTGCATGTGTTGGGTGTAGATTCGAGGCACAGCTGAATCCCTAAAATAATTTCTTCAATGGACAGCTTTGTCCCATGATTGAGTTCAGGATCCGCAGTTAGTTGCTATGCCTCACATCTACTATATTTAAATTCCAAGGCAAAATATATAGGCAAACTGAAGGTGTAGCAATGGGATGGATCACCAATATCCCCTATCGTAGCAGATATATTTATGGATAGCTGGGAAAATATGGCACTTAAAACTTTTAGTCCTACTCCAAAAATATGGTGGAGATATGTGGATGACACTTTCACAGTGTTAAAAACAGAATATATCTCTAGCTTATTGACACACATAAACTCACTAGTGGAGGGAATAAAATTCACATTTGAAACCGAAAATGAGCAAGGAGAATTAGCTATGTTAGATTGTAAAATAAAACGAATAGAAGAAGGCAAACTACACACTAGTGTTTATAGAAAACCAACGCATTCTAATAGATATTTAGACTTTAATTCATCTCATCCTTTAACTGTTAAGGCAGGCTTAGTTAAGTGTTTAACAAACCGTGCAATGGCACTAAGTAGCACAAAAAAAGACCTAAATGGTGAAATAAAACAGATAGAAAAGGCGTTGGTTTTAAATAACTATCCTCTAAAATTCATTAGGAAGATTGAAAAACGCCAAAAGAAAAATAAAAAGAATCGTGAAACTAGTAATAATAACATAAAGAGAGAATATAAGTCATCTACAGTTATACCATATAAAGAGGGGACATCTGAGACCCTACGTAGGATTCTAAATAAAGCAGGAATTAGGGTGGCATTTAAACCTACAAACTCACTCAGAGACAAGCTCTGTAGGTTAAAGGACCCAGTGGACCCAATTAGACAAAATAATATAATTTACAAAATATCCTGCAATGACTGTGAGGTCAACTACATGGGTCAAACTAGTAGGTCAGGGGTAGTCAGATTGTCAGAACATAAGAATTTAGCTAAGATAAGAATGGTTGACCCAGAGAAGATAAGTAATTTAGAAAAAAGCTCAGCAATTGCAATGCATGCATTACCACACAACCACACAATAGCATAGTGGGAGAGGGTTAAAATTCTAAAAAGTAATCTAGGTAGGTGGAGAGAGAGGTTGATTACTGAATCTTTGTTCATCGAATCTACACCCAACAATGAATCATCACTCATACCCGAGATATGGAAAATAATACTACTAATCAAATCAAGTGAAAAACAATGGAACTATATAAATGAATTTAGGAAGTCGTGTGACTACCTTGGGGACATACAAAGAACTGGTGACAGTCCCATGTCACGTCTACCACGTCAGAGATGGCGTAAGTCGACAGGGAAATGTCAAACGAGACTTCTTTATCCGTGGTGAGATTTCGTCAGCGACTAACCCACTAGGGGCGGCTGATGCAACTTCTCAGATAAGTGAAGTGGTCAACACATTCAGCCACCACTTCACTCCCTGTTTCTTAGCTAGGGACTGATTCAGTCCTGTCTTGTAGCACCATCTTACATTTGACATCAGGAGCAAATGGCACGCCAAACACCCAATGATCACTTTTCTGCTGAAGGTGTTCAGAGGACTTTGCTATATTTAGTCAGTGTCTTCACCTAGGAGGAAGGACTATATCATCTACATATTCCAAGTCGACGAGACTGTTATTCCCTGGTGGTAACAAGTCAATCCGTGAGTCTCTGAAGTTAGTCAGGGTCAAGTTCATGGGTACATCTCTGATGAGATTAAAAAGAAATTGGGAACTGTGGGCCTCCTTGAGGGACATCACTAGTTTTCACCACTTCGGATGACAACTCTCTGTAGGCTCTTGCCTTTCTGATTGGATGAGTTCGAATAGGGTGCCCTGAGCATTTGCACCAATCTCCTGAGTTGATTAGTAGCTGCATGGGCATGATTCTTTTTATTTCTTGATGTTTAATGTCTTATGAATGTAGAAAACTGAGATATTTATATTTATTTTGAATTAGTCATTTTGGCTTACTCATTCTGTGTAGATTGCTGAGTCATTGCTTTATTTTCAGTTGTTATGGTAAATTAATCTGAAAGTTACGATAATTTGACCATTAGATTTAATTCTTAGGAAAGTGTAATATATATGCCTAACAGTTAATGATAAATACACGTAGGAGTGGCAGTCGTCTACTGACCCTGGCCGACGATACCCTATCGCTATGTGAACTATGTGAGACCAACGTTGATTTGGTGATGAAGGTTGCCAGGTTACGTAGTGTCTCTCTTTGTGCCTGAAATTAGTGCTGACTAGGAACAGATTATTGTCTGAACAGAACAGTAGAAGACAACCAACATTGTCGGTTCGTCGGCAAGGAACTCCATACATACCACCTACATACTTCTCAGTCTGGCACAACTTCCCTACTTGGGCATTGAAGTCGCCTGCTAAAAAAACTATATCTGAACGTTTTGCTTTTTGCAGTAAAATTGACAGTTTCAAGTAGAAGTCATCTTTTAGTTCATCCAAACTGCAGTATTTTGGGGCGTAAGTGAAGACTATGAAGAAGCAATAATAGTTGTATATATATATATATGTATATATATATATATATATATATAAGGTACTGTGAAGATTAAAAGCAACAGAAGTCAGAAACAACAAATACGCAACAAAATCAACAACGAAAAAGTCGACTTACATCAGATATCTGTCGATTTAAATAACCATTTGAAGGAGAATTGAACTGTGAAGGTAAAGATTTCAGTGTATCCTGTCTAATTACTGTATTACTACTATATGGTAATGCTGGAACTTCTACTGCTGATAGAGGAGGCGGTGGAAGCGTAAAATTTTCTGAAGCATACGAATCAGGTGGAGGAGGTAATGGAGGCGAGGAATCTATAGGATAATGGAGAGATGTATTAAAAAACAAGAACAGTGAAACAATGGTATTTTACATTCACACTTAATCTATGTAATAATTAAAAATTGAACTAGTTAAGTATTATCTAAAGATGCATAAACCGATATACAGGATGAAAAAATCACCGCGTATAAAGGTTCAAAAGAAGCCTGGAAGTATGTGCTGCGATTAACCACTTCACTAAGAAGTGTTAAACAGAAAATATCCACACACAAAAAAAGGCCTCACTAAATCAATAGACCAATTCAGTAATTAAAGTGCAGTTCTCATTTCAAATCAAAATTAGCCAGAGAATTATTGTGAAATTCACTGAACAACCCTAATTCATTCTAATTTAGGACTATTCAGTCGCCAAGGTTAAGGGGGAAAGAGAATCTTACCATTTAATCAATGGGTTATGCAGCCTGTTGACAATTATAGGATATACTACTACCACACGGCTTACAATTTTATTTCATCAGTAAGTTTTACAACAGCATGTGTGACGGTCAAATTGTTTGTTTGTACCAAGGATGATTGATGGTGTGGTGTGTGTTACTGACAGGATTTTGTAACTAGTATATATATATATATGATGTGTGGTGTCTTCTGCAGGAATATTGAATAAGAGAGCAATGGATTATGTAGTGAAGAGGAGAAATGAAAAATCCTGGTGAAGGAAGACGAGAGAAACCCAATGAAAGAACGCACTGCAAATGGAGATTTCAGCATAACGCGTTTCTGTATTTTTCAATTAACCGTGCAGCATTCATCTAAATAACAATTCTGCTAACAAAATACTATCTTGTTCTCCTATTACAGTGGTACTGTAAGATTTTCAAAAACTTAACAGGTGAGGTGAATACGAAACTGCAACTCACTAGTAATAAGATGTGGGCTTAAACTGACCGACTGGTATCAACATAGAACTTGTTTGCACACATGTGTAGCAGGTCAACTCGCCATACTCCATCCACGTAGAACACAAAGCAACAAAAGAGAGTAAACACAGTATCATTATAAGATAGATAAACACAAGTGTGAATGAGAGGAAAAGATTAGTAACATGGAAGGACAAGAGAGTTCTATTGGAGGTATATGACAAATCATTCACAAAGAGTGAATGCATATCCGCCATCATCGAGACCGAGGATTTTGAGTCATTTCATCAGTTGTCTCCGGCTTCCATTGCTTTTTACCATCCCGAGGATCCAAACTAGCCAGACAGCCAATCTATACCTCCTTACTTGGTTGTCTCAAAGTAACTGTTGTGGATTCCATTGACTGATGAAGTCATGTTCTGCTTTGAACACTACTATCAGCTCTTTTCTAATCTGATACAATGTCAGCCGGCTAACATTGACTGTCGAGGAAGGCGATGGATAGACATACGTAGCACATGTACTAACTATCTCTATCAATCGATGTAACTGCTTAAAAACCTCGTCTATTGGTTTCCCCTCCTTACCTAACATTCAACCCACGCCAAACCTCAATATTGCTCACCTGACTACACCACTTACCATGGGAGATAGAACGCAGACACCTATGATCAAAGACAGCTATTCAGCCTTTTCATGTGCTCCACTCTCAATGTCCATGTCACACTGACAGCCATAAAGGAGGACAGAGTGAATTGGTGAGCAGTGTACAATTCCGACAGACAGATATCACGTTAGGCTGAAAAACATAACCACCATTCACACAGGAGATGTTTAAAATGACCACAATCCTAATATTATTATAACAGCAGCCTAGTAGAATAACTCAAGGTTTAGGTCGGTCGGTCCGTTTTCGACATAGAACTTTGCACATATGTGCGGCAGTTCAAGTCGCCACAATCTGTGTAGCACGCAAAGCAAGAGAAGGAAGTAGAAGAAATGCATAATATAGACAGTAAACAGAGGTGTGAGACAAAGGAACAGTAATAACGAAGAACAAAACAGTTTCATTGGAAATCATAAGTCACAAGGAGTGGATGCATCTGCGCCACTGAGAACGATTTTGAGCCATGTCACCAATTGTTTCCAACCATTGGTTTTTACCATCCCGAGGGCCCCAACCAGGAAGTCTACATCTTCCTACGTGGCTTAGATTAACTGTTGTGGATTTCATTGGCTGGTGCCATGTTTTGGTTTGACCGCCGCTAGCTCTTTTCCAGCCTGACCCTATATCAGCTAACATTGCCCATTGTCGAGGAAGGCGATGACTAGGCATACGTAGCACATGTCCTAACCATCTCAGTCGATGTAATTTCACAGTCTCGTCGATTGATTTCCCCGCCTTACCTACCACTCGACGCCTAACCTCAATATTGCTCACCTTATTATACCACTTCACGCGGGAGATAGAACGCAGACACCTATGATCGAAGACAGCTAATCTTTTCATGTCTCCTGCTCTCAATGGCCAGGTCTCACAGCCATAAAGGAGGACGGAGCGGACTGTTGAGCAGTACACACGCCCTTTGGTCGATAGTCGGATATCGCGTCTACGCCAGAGACGGCGAAAACTGGCGAATGCGAACCTAGCCCTCTGTATTCGTGCTGAAATTTCGTCGGAGATCAACCCGTTTGGGCTGATGGTTTAACTAAATGATGAGTAAACTTATATACCAGTTCATCCAGCAAGTACATTATACACACTTAACTTTCTCCTCACATCATGTATTCATCCCTAGAATCTGGCATTTACACAGTATGTCAATCATTGCACTTTCTACTCAATGAATTTATAGGTGAGTTGAATCATCAGTAAACGATGAGATAATCACTACACGTTTAAAAATCGCGACACCTACTGAAGTAGGTTTAGGGATATCAAACAGTAACACTAGCTGTCACAGATTACTGCCTAATCCATGGGGTTCTATGGCGTTGCTGAATAACAAACATATCTTTCATACAATACACATCCGACAACTTTCAGTCATCACTAATGCCGCACAATTTCATAATCTGAACTTTATATCCACAATATTACTTTATAGTAACGAGCAGTCAACTATTTACTCCTACTTTAGAGCTGATATCGTGCTTTGAGACAAGCAACTGTTCAGTGTAAACAGTACAAGCCTAATCACATCAGCAGGAGACGAATAATTACTCCATCAACTGGAATTTTTTTGGTGAATAGTTTACGCATCATACAGTGATGCGGTATTAACAACAACTGGATGACAAGGTTTCCAGCATAAATTATTGCTGCTCATAATCATATCAATTTAGTCACACGGTTTCACAATTTATATTATATATGTATATATTTTTCTCTCTATTCTGTCTCTCCAACTTTCCTTTGTTATTTTTTGCATCTTCCCCTATCTCCGCTATATAGGCACGTTGCGTTATTCCACTGTGCGTGTGCGGTGTTGAGTCGATAAACAAAGCTTCAGTGAGTAACCTCCCTCTCTCTCAATCCACCTAACGATATAATATTTTAATACTCTCACCTTATCCCACGCTATTCGGAGATTACATGCTATAGTAGTCTAGTTAGTTAGGTGTCTATATAAACAGGTCAGGGGCCTAACTAGTAAGCCAGAGAATATAAATAATGAAATCAAATATATATAAAGGATATATTACTAGTGAATAACACACTACCCATCAGAGTTTATTCAGAAATATATGAAGAACCATGGAAAAATAATAATAATAGTAATAAAAATGACGGAAATAACGAAGAAAATAATATAGAATTCAAGGCCTCTGTAGCTCTGCCGTACATAGAAGCAACGTCATAAGCCTTACGTTGGATTTTCAGCGAGTCCGGAATTAGGGTGGTATTTAAACCAACCAACGAACCAACTATTTCAGAGATAAACTTTGTCGGCTTAGGGACCCGATGGATCCAATTAAGAAAAATAATAATGTAGTTTACGAAATACCATATAATGGCTATGAGGTCAATTACATGGGTCAGTCAAACTAGTAGATCGGCGTCAACTACATTATTGGGACATAAAAATTTAGCTAAACATAGGATAATTGACCCTACTAAGTTAAATAACCTAGAAAAAAAGTTCAACCATTGCACTGCATTCACTTGCATGTAATCACAAACAGTAGGGTGGGTGGGATAGGCTGAGAGTATTAAAGTATTATATAGTTAGGTGGATTGAGAGAGAGAGAGAGGTTACTCACTGAAGCTTTGTCGGTCGCTGATTCAACACCGCACATGTGCAATCAGAATAACGCAACGCGCCCATATACGGGAGATATGGAAAGATGCAAAAATTAACAAAGGAAAGTTGGAGAGACAGAATAGAGAGAAAAAATGTATGTATATATAATACAATTTGTGAAACCGTGTGACTAAATTGATATGATTATGAGCAGCAATAATTTATGCTGGAGACCTTGTCATCCAGTTATTAATACTGTATCACTTTGTGGTATTTAGAATCAACTTATCTAATATGGAATTACATTCTACCACAATAGCCAAGTTCTACACTAACACATTAATTTTACGCTTCAATTCTATATCTTTTATATGATGGCGCCATAATATCACTGATCAATATCTGAATTTTTTTTAAAAATATTAACGCGGAAAAAGTAGGGCAGATATCATCACTAAAAGTGTTCATGTAGATTGTCATTTTCCAGGTGATGGAGGAATAAATAGATCGTTGAATCAGAAGGATTTTTATCATCCTTTAACATGCATCTAAGAGGTGACTGACAGTTCTTTTCTCTGATGACTAATTGGTGATACAGACAGAGTCCAGAAATAATAACAATAATAATTTGCTTTACTCCAAAACAGTACTTGTGATACAGAATGGAATTCTCAGCATTTTTAACTACAGTATTGCATCCAGTTAGTACATTATCAACAAATAGAATCCTACATAGATTAAGGAAATCTCAGTTCATTATGACAACAACGTATTGGGATGTCGGTAGCAAAGCCAAAGTTGAACAGTGTTTGAAGGTGTTAGAAAAGTAGGTGCTATCATATTTACTGGAGTAAGCGGAAGAAAGAAACA